ATGATGAGTACTTATTATTTTCCCAATGGAGGAAATGACAGCAGCAACAACAACAACAACTTTGAATCACAAGTGAATAATGTGGGTCCAAGTCAGCCACCAAATTGGAACTTCTTTGGGTCACAGAATTTTAGCAACATGGAAGTGATGCCACTTCCTTGTTGGCCAGAATCACCAGCCCCTTTTAGTTGCTCTTGCTGTCAAGTTTTGAGAGAGATAATTCACACCAATGGTATATATAATTAACATATGAGTAACCACACTTTTGAGGATTATAATACAAAGTACATCTATTGTGCACTATAAATCTGAAAAGTGTAACATAAAAAAGCATTTCTGTGAAGTTTAATTTTCAGTCACCAAAATAGACCCATTCTATTGTTTACGGATTCTCTATCTCTTTTTCTTACATGATAGTTTAATTTCTTCCGTTTTCATTTTCATTAATTTGATATATATTTTGGTGGTTTAGGTTTTACCTTCAACAAACTTGAGATTCATGGAAGGCTTGGGATAATGTGTCATGCAATTCATCACCAGAATATCAATGGGAATATCAATGGGGCTTCTTCAAGTAACCCTCAATTTCAAATGATTGAGTAAGTTCCACGTAGTACCATTTTTTGGCATTACAAATCTCTACGTAGTTAAAGAGAATGTGTTATTATTTGCATGTCATTTAACGACCACCCACATTCTACAACATAGTACATTTTCATTTTTAGTTTATTTATAAACTTCTTGCACAATTAAATCCCTGCACATGCAATGATGTTTTTGCGTTTACTTTCTAATAGCAAAAATCCTTTTGAGTATTTACTTTTCTTACTTGTATTACTTTCTTTATGATTACTATGATCAGTTTTAACATGAAAAACATTCAAGAAATCAAGAATTTTCTAGTGCAATACTGTCTGGGGCAAAATACATCAGGCTACGTTATGGTGCAAGATCCATTGTCTCCCTATTATGAAGCCCTCTGCATTGGACTAGACTGGGCTGAAGACTTAAATGACTATATCGACATGAATCCAAATGGTTCAGGTTGGTTCTACTCTAGTGATACTTTTATTCTAGAAAAAGGTTATGCATTGATATAATGTTTGTTACATTATTAGTACATAATTAAATGATATACATACTTATAAAACTATATATTCTTATATAGTTTCAGAATATTATGCTCATCAGTTTCAATCATTTTACATATTTGTTTGTAGGAGGACCGTCCGATGAAATGGAACAAGAGGTTGACAATGGAAGAGCTCGTAGGCCTAGCCTTTCAGAACAGGTTCAAATTTTTATTTGTTTTTCCTTCTAAGTGTTGCATCTGTTTTGTGCTTTTCTTTTATTTGTTTGGCAATAATTTATAGCTTTTTGTCTAGTTATATTTTATTGTATATCGTGGTTGAACAGAAAGAGAGAATAGCTAAAATGAAATTAAGTGATGTAAGCGATTACTTTCATCTACCTATTGAGGAAGCAGCAAAGAAGTTGAACGTATGTTCTAGTGTCGTGAAGGGAGTTTGTCGTAGAGAAGGAGTAAAAAGATGGCCTCAAAGAAAGGTTTAATCTTATGTTAACCCTTTTCTTTGTTTTTCTATTTTCATCACTATATTTGCTGAACATGTTTAGTTTTATTTTCATGTGCACAGATCACAAGCATTGTGAAGCAGATCACAGTGCTGAAAAGAACTTTAAATTCAGCAGATGCAAGTACAAGGGCAAGAACTGAGGCAGAAATTAACAAACTTGAAGAAGAAATGAAGGGGCTTTGTGGTGGAATTTCCCCAACCGCAATAAATTACTCATGAAACCTATGCTATCCTACAATGTGTGTAATTTTGTTATGGAGATGTTCTTTTTTATTAGTTTACCTATTTTTTAAAGTATAGCTTGTTCTTTTAATTAGAGATGATTAGCTTCATTTTGTGAGTCCAATTTAACTGTAAATTTTGCATGGCCGCGGCCTATGTAATTTGTTCATACATTATTATAGGAGACTTCTTGGATTTTTGTAAAGTAATAAGTTAGATACTTGGCATTGTAAGTAATTCATCCTATTCCAAAAACTTGTTGAACTGGATAACTCTACTGATATTGGTTGGCTCTGTAGTTAACAATATGGATTTGAAATGGATTTCCAAGAAAGGTAGAACCTACACTGGCAAACGGTCGTCAACTGTGGCCCTTACTCCTAATAACAGCAACTCAAAAAGTTTGGTTATGGGCATATATTTAAATTGCGAACTGCATCACGTGATACAGCCGCAATATTGCGGTTGCGACAATTGCACCACAATTATGGTGTGACTCTGAATCACAATGATGAGGCAGGCTACAATAACATCACACCGCAATTACGATGGAACTCTGAATCACAAGTATGAGGCTGCATCGGGCCGCAACGCAACCGCATCGGGCCACAACGCAACCACATCGGACCGTATTTGGACCGCGTCAGGCCGCATCAGACCGCATCATATCACATCGGATTGAAAAATGTTATTTTAATAACAATATTATGTATTATAATATTAGACTAATTTTTGGCCAATAAGTAGCAAGATGCATAATTTAAACTAGTGATAGGTTTGAGCTTAATTCTTTTGATATTCACACTGACAATCTTCATATAATAATATTAATTATAAGGTTACATTTACACATAAACTCATTCCAACATCTTCATACACACAATCATGCCTTCAATAATAAATAGTAAAATTGAAACAAATTGAACTAGTATTTTATGGCATCATTCATGACATTATAGTTTGAAATGCCTAACTGAAAATGCTTTCCAACCCTAGCATGGTTAAACTAGCAACATCATCATGACCTTCATAAAGTGAGACAAGTCTTCTCTTTAGCTTCTCTAATGATTCCATTGTGTTGTCAAAAGTTGTTGCTGTGATAGATACAAACCCTGGGTTTTGGCTATTGAACACTGAGATGACAGTAGCATCTTGAAACCCATGATTAAGAATAAAGTGAAACAACCCTTTTGGGAACACAAAAACATCACCTACATTAAGAAACTCTTGGAAAACTTGGTTTTTGGTATCAATAAATCCAGCAAGCAATACACCTTTGGTAACATATATTATCTCAGTAGCTCTAGGGTGATAATGGAAATTTACAAGGCCATCACCATCCATATCAGTTCTTCCAATTGAGAGGCCAAGAGTGTTAAGGCCAGGAAACTCAGAAGCAGTGACCATTTTGAAGGAAGCACCAAATATATCTGTAGAGCCAGTGTTGCTTAATTCTGAAGTCTTGAAATCTTGAGCTGTTATATTAGCTTGACTTTTGCAGGGTAGGCCATTGATGAATATGGTCTGCTTTTTGGGTGGAATTGCAGGACAAGTGTCCTGTAAATTATCACAGTCTGCCATGCAAAGTTGGATGCTGGTAAAAGTAACAAAGAACATAGAGAAAATGTTAGCCAAGAGTTTCATCTTTAATCTACACTTGTTATACATATTCTTCTACCCTTTTGTGGTGTCTTGATTATCTTATATATATATATATATATATATATATATATATATATATATATATATTTATTTATTTATATATATATAAATGTGTCTTGGGGTTCAAGAAATGCGAGCAATGATAACCTTGGAGTTCACTTCTGGCTTTGCAATGAAGTGTGATGTAAGAAGTGTTTTGCTTGAAACTGAAATAAACACTATCTAGTTTATTATTACCAAAATTTCACTATTATTTTTGAAGCTTGAAGGTTGTGTTATATGAGATTCCATGTGTGGTATCACCAAAAGCATTCACTTAAAGATAAGGAATTCAGTTTTAAATGGTTAAACTCAATTCAGATACCCTGTCAATTTTTAGGTCATGTGATAGCTATATGGAGAGAAAAACCTTTATACTCACTCCTCTAGTATTTTATTTGTTAAGGTAAAGTTATGAAAGTTCAATTAATGGTCCATGTTTAAAAGATATTACATATGGATATATACATTCTTAAATTTCAGACATTCCAACTACTATTAGATCACCAATTTGTTTCTATAACATGTAGTTCACTTATTTTTTGCACCACAATTATCTTAATTGTAATGTTCACAAGTTTCTTCCAAAATTAACATTTGTTTGGTAGTCGGGATAAAATAAGAATAAAGTAAAATAAACTCTTATCATGTTTAGTGTTTGATCATGTTTCATTCATAATAATTGACAAAAAATGAGTGCACCAGAGAACAATGACATTGATATAGTGGTGGTGGTGATACTAATGGGATAAAAAATATATTACCAGAATGTTTGGGGTCAAGATAAGACTATGAGATGTTATATAATATGAGTAAGATAAGATTTTATATTGTTCAATGTTTGATGTCCACCATATAAGATTGTTTTGATGGGGTGGTGGTTTTAGTGTTAGGTACGAGGGAAAATGTTACATTATCATACCCAGCTCATTTCTAACTAGTTTCTCACGGGATAAAAAGAACTAAGTGAATATGACTAGCTAGATTGGTTAACATGATGTGACTAATTATCTTCTAAATTATCTCAAATTATCATACCCTACTCATTTCTAACAAGTCTCTCGTGAGAATGCAATCATAATCCCTAATCAAAATCATGTTAATACTTTTTAATCGAGCTAGAGTTGTGAAAAAACTCCATTATTTCTGATAGAGCAGTAATTTAACTATGAAAATCAATGATGAAAGCAAAAAAAGAAGAAAAAGAGAGTTCTATATGGTAAGTTCTGGAGTGAGTTTGGCAAATCCATTAAGCATTACATCCAGATTTCTACCAGTGATGCTGTAAAAACTATTGCTCGGGACCATATACCCACATTATATGAAGACCAATTTCTCTTCTCTTTTTTTCATTTCCCAGAGAAGATAACGAAAACCATATACCCACATTATATGAAGACCCCTTCACTTCTCCAAGTCCCACATCCGGCAAAGTATTTAACAATTGATTCTTTATAAAGCCTCTGACAAGCATGTGAAATTGCCGAGTTGGGTAACACCAGCTTGTAACCCAAGTGGGGGCGTCAAGGTGATGGGACAGCTTCGTGGCTTGCTGGGTCAGATTGATCTGTGCAATTTAGCTGGCTTGCCCACTCCAAGTTGAGAGTTGAGGCATGGAACTTGAGCTAAGGCACAGGTTTCATGACTCTTAGACCAGAGGGCACAGCGTGAGGCTGGCTTCACAGAGCAGCGACCACCTCTTGCTCCCAACAGTGGAGGGATTACAGGCTGCTGTACTATCAGTCCACCATAGGCCTGGTGAACTTAGTTGCCTGGACCATCACCTTTTTCTTCTTTAAGAAAACAATCCAGCCCATATACATAATTGTTCTTAAAGCAAGTGAGGTTGTACATGACATTTTATAGGCTTTGTGTATGAGGAAATGAGATATTTTTTTATCATAAAAATGGAAATTATATATACAAATTTAAACGAAAATGAAAATTCAAACCATATTATAAACAAAGAATGAGTATTCATTATTTATGAAAGGAATTTAATTAACTAAAATACTCTATACTAAGGTTTAAAAAAATCATGGAAATCGTGAGAATATTCTTTTCTTAATCATTTATTATTCTTACTCAATAGGGATTTGAGTAAAATATATTTTTATTTTTAGTTACATTTTTAATAGACCTTAAATTATCTTATGCTTAGTCTACTTGTGACATCCCCTCAATTTTATTATATATAAGTCAAGATCATATAGTACAATAACCAAAAAAATATTGAACAAATTCATACATAGTTTAACTAGTAATAAATGTAAGAGTAAATATGATGTGAATAAGTGAATTTTTTATATAAGAATAAATATTGTAAAAAGAAAATTACTTGTATAAATAAATAAATTTGCCCCTCTATCAACTGTGGGGTCTGTGTGGCGTATAGAGATAATATCTAATAGTATTAATACTAGATATTTCATATTACTTTTATAATATGTCATAATTGAACACTAAATGATATACTAAAATAGAATTTACTCATATTTACAACATTATAAAAGGTACATATTAAATGAAGAACTGAGATATTGTCACAAATGTTCCACAAAAAAAGCTTCTCATTTTTAGTATTCATTAATCATTAGTCACATTCATGAATATCTATTTATTTTAGTTACAATTTCTTTTATAATTGAGGCTGAAAGTGAAATATGAAATCACATATCTCTATGTATATTTATATCCTCTATATGTATTTGTATATCTTTATCAATATAAGGAAAAAAAAGAAGAGAAATGACTTATATAATTTTAAGAAAATGTGTTAATAAAATTTAGTTTAATAATTAAAATGGGAAGAACGGGATTCGAGTTAAGCAGCACCGAATTGATGATATAAAATGGGATGGTACTTGACACGCGCACACGTGCGAGGCGATTGGTAATATATGAAAAGAGCGAGTGAAGCGAAACGAGAGTTGGATTGGTATTTTATGAAACCCTAGGAGGCATCAGAAAATTTTGGGGGAGAAAAAGCGGTTTTGGTCCACTCGCTGATGCCCCTCGCGTGAGATTTTCCAGCTTCACTTTGTTTCTGATCTTTCTTTCAAACAGGTTCCCTCCCTTCCCTCTCTTCTCATTATACTTCATTCCAAATTTCACCTTTTTTATTTCCAATTATTTTTTTATTCTACTAACTTATAATACATTATGCTCTATAATTCACTCTATTTCTCTTATTTCAAATTAATGTTTTTTTAATAGTGTTGTTCCCTTTGTAACCTAGATTGTTTATGGTTGGGGAGGTAACTGATAAATACTAGCTTCAGGTCTAAGAGAGTGAGTCTTCGCGCAATTGCTTAGTGACTATGAGGTCACGAGTTCAAATCCTGAAAACAGTCTATCTGTTTTTCGGGTGGGCTATGTACATCTATCCTCTCCACGCCTCACCAGGTGGGAGTCTCGTGTACTAAGCTGCTGCGTTCGCGGTTTTTAGGACTTGTGCTTTTCCAATGGAAGAAGAAGAGAGAGATGTAGAGAGATTTTGGTAGTTATTTTGTATTTTTTGTTAAATAAAATAAGAATAAATAGAAGAGGTTAGTACATAGGTGTGGATTGTGGAGGAGGAAGTTGATTAGCAAAAACATAAGCTCAAAATCAAAGTTAAACTATTCTAAAGCAAGTTTTTTACATCTGCACCTTTTTGTGGACTCTATTTGCTATTGAATGAACACTAGGATTTGATAGGTGCTTGTATTTGATATTCTAATTTGTTCAAAGTTATCATCCAAATGAGAAATGTTCCGTCACGCAGCCACCCTCTGTAAAGCAGAATCTCTCCCGAAGATAAATTTATTTCTTTACTTGATAGGATCTATTCTAACGACTTTTCGAAGAGTTCTGAGCTTAATATATCTATTTCTCCTAAATGATGTTTGTGTTGTTTTTTCTGTTTCTTGTTGGCAGCAATAGTTTTTTCCTAACTGGAAATGACTTACTTGATTCGTTGACTTGGTTTCTGTTCTTTCCACTTTTCAGTACCCTTGAAATCATCAGGCAGAAATCTGTTATAGTTATGGATATAGATCTTAGATTACCTTCTGGTGAACATGATAAAGAGGATCAAGAAACAAATACAATTGATAACCTATTGGATACAGAAGATAAATTGCGCAATGGTGATATAGAGGGAAGAAGTATGGTTGATGCTTGTGTTGAGGTACATCCTCTAGATGGCGGAGACTTGAATTCGCCCACAGTAGATATGGTAATGTTTAAGGAAGAAGCAAATCTTGAGCCACTTTCTGGCATGGAATTTGAGTCTCATGGGGAAGCGTATTCTTTCTACCAAGAATATGCTCGATCAATGGGATTCAACACTGCAATACAAAATAGCCGCCGATCAAAAACGTCAAGAGAATTTATAGATGCAAAGTTTGCCTGTTCCAGATACGGAACAAAACGAGAGTATGAAAAATCAGTAAATCGCCCGCGTGCCAGGCAGAACAATCAAGAATCTGAAAATTCAACTGGTCGGAGATCTTGTTCAAAGATCGACTGTAAAGCAAGCATGCATGTAAAAAGAAGGTCGGATGGAAAATGGGTTATACATAGTTTTGTGAAGGAGCATAATCATGAGCTTTTACCAGCCCAAGCTGTCAGTGAACAAACTAGAAAAATGTACGCTGCAATGGCTAGACAGTTTGCTGAATACAAAACTGTGGTTGGTCTCAAGCACGAGAAAAACCCATTTGATAAAGGCCGGAATTTGGGCCTGGAGTCAGGAGAGGCCAAACGTATGCTTGAGTTTTTTACTCAGATGCAAAATATGAATTCTAACTTCTTTTATGCAGTAGATCTTGGTGAGGATCTACGCCTGAAAAGTCTTTTGTGGGTTGATGCTAAAAGTAGGCATGACTATATCAACTTTTGTGATGTTGTGTCTTTTGACAGCACCTATGTTAGAAACAAGTATAAGATGCCGCTGGTACTTTTTGTTGGAGTGAATCAGCACTATCAATTTATATTACTTGGTTGTGCCTTGATATCAGACGAAAGTGCCACCACTCTTTCTTGGCTTATGCGGACATGGCTGAAAGCTGTTGGTGGTCATGTTCCGAAAGTGATAATTACTGACCATGACAAGACTTTAAAGTCAGTTGTGTCAGATATCTTTCCGAATTCACATCATTGTGTATGTTTATGGCATATATTGGGGAAGGTTCTTGAAAATTTGGCTCATGTAATCAAAAGACATGAAACTTTTATGGCAAAATTTGAAAAATGCATCTATAGGTCATGGACAAGTGATGAATTTGAGAAGAGGTGGTGGAAAATTGTTGATCGATTTGAACTCCAGGAGGATGAATGCATGCAGTCACTGTATGAAGATCGCAAGTTATGGGCACCAACATTCATGAAGAACATTTTCTTAGGTGGTATGTCCACTGTCCAGCGATCTGAAAGTGTAAATTCCTTCTTCGATAAATATGTTCATAAGAAGACCTCTGTGCAAGATTTTGTCAAACAGTATGAAGCAATCTTGCAAGACAGATATGAGGAGGAAGCAAAAGCAGATTGTGATACTTGGAATAAAGTGGCAACATTAAAAACTCCCTCACCTTTAGAGAAGAGCGTTGCAGGGGTTTGCACCCATGCAGTATTCAAGAAGATTCAAGCTGAGGTTATTGGTGCTGTTGCTTGTCACCCGAAAAGTGAAGGACAGGATGGCACAGGCATTACTCACATGGTTCATGATATGGAAACAAATCAAGACTTCATAGTTGGGTTAAATAACATAAGATCGGAGGTATCATGTATATGTCGTCTATTTGAATATAGAGGTTATCTTTGTCGACATGCATTGGTTGTTCTTCAATATTCTGGTCAGTCGGTGATGCCATCCCAATATATTTTGAAGCGGTGGACAAAGGATGCGAAGATGAGGCATATGATGGGAGAAGAATCTGAACATATGCTATCTAGGGGGCAACGGTACAATGAGTTATGTCAGCGAGCACTGAAACTGAGTGAAGAAGGATCCCTGTCTCAAGAGAGTTACAGCATTGCATTCCATGCACTACATGAAACATACAAAAATTGTGTGAGTGTAAACAGTTCTAGTAAGAGTCCTACGGAAGCTGGAACGTCGGCTGTTCATGGCCAGCTTTCTACAGAAGAAGATACCCAGAGTAGAAATATGGGCAAGCCAAGCAGAAAGAAAAATCCAACCAAAAAGAAAAAGGTATGTTTTCTAGCAATTGAACATGTTAAGTACATTTTTATGTTGTTTCTATCACGACCTCTTTGAAATGCAGTTGAGCTGTGAGCCTGAAGTGATGAATGCTGGGGCAGTAGATAACTTGCAACAAATGGTTTGTCCTCGTACCATTGGATTATTTTTTTTACCTTGTCGTCTTATTAGTTAGTCTAACTAACATTCAACCATATTGCCGGACACATGATACTTGTAGAGGAAATAAAAAGATACATGCTCGATTTTACTTGAATACATGTATCTGCTTGTTTGAAGGAAACTTCTCTTCAGTTACAAGGAATTCTATTTTGTAGGATAAATTCAATGCAAGAGCAGCTGTAACCCTCGATGGTTATTATGGCGCACAACAGAATGTTCAGGGAATGGTATGTGAATATGACACATGTAGTTCTCAATTTCATCATGTATTATTCCACATCATTTAGTAAACTCATGTTTCATTTGATGGTTCAGTTGAACTTAATGGGACCGACGCGTGATAATTACTTTGGGAATCAACACACTATTCAGGGGCTGGTATGTCATGCAAACTCGAATTACCGTGTTTAAATTTTTACTG